GGGATAAGTCTGTGGGTTCCTTTGGCAGCAGACCAGGCTCAGCCAACCTTGTGGAAGGGCTTTACTTCCTCTGGCCATGCTGGAGAGACCTGCTCCCTGTCCCTGCACCTCTTGTCGTTGGAGTAGGGTGTCAGCACCAATGTCAGGTGTGGGCTCTGATGTGTTTGCTCCCCCTTCTCAGGTCTGGTTCCAGAACCGCAGAGCTAAGCAACGGAAGCAAGAGCGCTCACTGCTTCAGCCCCTGGCCCATCTGTCTCCTGCCACCTTTTCCAGCTTCTTGCCAGAGTCCCCTGCTTGCCCCTACTCCTACGCGCCACCACCACCACCAGTGACCTGCTTCCCTCACCCCTACAGCCACGCCCTCCCCTCCCAGCCCTCCACAGGAGGTGCTTTTGCTTTGCCACACCAGTCTGAGGACTGGTACCCCACCTTGCACCCAACCCCTGCTGGCCATCTGCCCTGCCCCCCACCCCCTCCCATGCTCCCCCTCAGCCTTGAGCCATCCAAGTCCTGGAACTGAGGTCAAACAAGTACCACTAAGGTGATCCCCAGCCTGTGGCCCTCGTGACAAAACAAGAAATTGGGGTGGCTTCCTTTCCTTCTATGGGCGAAGCAGAAGTATGGTGAGGGTCGGCTCAGCAATTGGAAATTTAAAAGTGGGAGATCGTGGTGAATTCTCACTGTGGTGATGAGTGGAGGAAATCTGGGGAGGTGAGCTGCTGGAAGAGACAGGCAAAGAGGCCCCCGTGGAGCTGCCTGCTGAAGGGTGATATTGATGGAGACAGTTGCTGGTGAGTGGAGATGATTGAAGGGCTCAGACGTGAGGGCCTTCATTAACTGAGATCACGATTGAAGAAGATCCCAGCTCTTTCTGGCTGATTTCAGTAAGGCTTCTGATTTAGAGTCTACCTATACATCCCTTCCCCACTGCCCACCCCGCCATCCCAATCAGTCACTCACTTTTGTTTATTCTGTCCTAGGATTTTTTTTTTTTTTTTTTGAAACGGAGTCACCCAGGCTGGAGTCCAGTGGCGTGATTCTGGCTCACTGCAAACTCCAACTCCTGGGTTCACACCATTCTCCCGCCTCAGCCTCCTGAGTAGCTGGGACTACAGGCGCCCACCACCACGCCCAGCTAATTTTGGTTTTGTATTTTTAGTAGAGATGGGGTTTCACTGTTAGCCAGGATGGTCTC